AACTGAGAACTCTGGATTTTTTTGAAAAAGATTTATTTATTTATTTATTTATTTATTTATTTATTTATTTATTTATTAGAAAGAGAGAGAAAGCACAAGCAGCGGGAAGGGAGGGGCTGAGGGAGAGGGAGAAGCAGACATCCCGCTGAGCAGGAACCCCGATGAGATGATGCAGGGCTCAATCCCAGGACCCCGAGGTCATGACCTGAGCCAAAGGCAGATGCTCAACCAAGTGAGCCATACAGGTGCCCCCTTTGGATTTTTTTTTTTTTTTTTTGTCATCAGTAATTGAACACTACCTGTAGCTCTACCAGCACTTTAGGGTGAGAGATAGAAATAATTTCTCAAGTACTAAACTGCAGCTAACTGCCAAACTCATTTTGTGAGGATAAGTGTGGTGCCAAGCAACTTCCAGCTACAAAAAGGACACATACAACCCACAGACTGGGAGAGAATATTTGCAAATCATGTATCTGACTTGTATCCAGAGTATATAAAGAATATTTATAACCCAATAATAAAAAGGACAACCCTATTAAAGCATGGACAAAGGATTTGATTTTGATATTGCTAAATATACATATATACACACACACAAATCAAGGACATACACATTAGAAGATATTAGGAAAATGCAAATCAAAACCCCAGTGAGATCGCACTTCACACCCAGTAGGATGGCCACAAGTTAAAAAGACGGACAATAACAAGTACTGTCAAAGATGTGGAGTAACTGGAACCCTCTTCCATGGCTAGTGGGAACGTAAGATGCTGCAGCCAATCTGGAAAACAATCCGGCGGTTCCTCACAATGTTAAAGCTAGACTTACCACATGACCCAGCAAACCCACTGCTCAGTAGACAGCCAAGAGAAATGAAAACAAATGTACGCAAAAATACTTGTACACAAATGCTACAGCAGCATTATTCATAATAGTTGAAAAGTGGAAACACTTCCAGTGTCCATCAACTGGTGAGTGGTCAAACATAATGCATTATATCTACACAGTGGATTGTTATTCTGCCATAAAAAGGGCAGGAGAACTGATACATGCTACCGCAGGGAGGGACATTGAAAACACAATCCCCAGTGAAAGAAGCCAGTCACAAAGACCACACGTTGTATCATCGCATTCATATGAACTCTCCAGAAGAGGAAAATCCATTAGAGATGGAAAGTAGCTTAGCGGTCACCAGGGCCTGGGGAAAGGAGGAATGAGAAGGGGCTGCTAACCAGTATGGGGTTTCTTTTTGGAGGGATGAAAATGTTCTAAAATCAATTGTGATGGTTGTACAACTCTGAACCACTGAATTGTACACTTTTTTAAAGCTTTTATTTCTAAGCAATCTCTACATCCAACCTAGGGAGTTGTAGCGTCTACTGACTGAGCCAGACAGGTGTCCCATGAATTGTACACTTTATTTTATTTATTTATTTTTTAGAGACAGAGACAGAGAAAGAGCCTGCTGGGGGGGAGAGGGGGAGGGCAGAGGAAGAAGGAGAGAATCTTTTTTTTTTTTTTTTAAGATTTTATGTATTTATTTGACCATGAGTGAGAGAGAGCACAAGCAGGGGAAGCGGCAGGCAGAGGGAGAAGCGGCAGGCAGAGGGAGAAGCGGCAGGCAGAGGGAGAAGCAGGCTCCCCACCGAGCAGGGAGCCTGATGCGGGGCTCGATCCCAGGACCCTGGGATCACGACCTGAGCGGAAGGCAGACACTTAACCCACTGAGCCACCCAGGCACCCCTAGATTAGAGTTTCTTTCTGTAATAGATACAGATGTGTGTGGTTATGGCCAACAAGACCGATATTTGAGCTTTGAGTTTCCCTCTCTCCTTTTATAAATCTTTTTATTTCTTCAATTTAATAAAAATTAGTATCAATTCTAAATATTTTATTTAAATTGTATACATTAATTCATACTAGCAATATTTCACTTATTTATTTATTTGAGAGAGAGCAAGAGCTTATACTCACGAGCAGGGGGAAGGGCAGAAGGGGAGGGAGAAGCCGACTCTCCGCTGAGCCAGGAGCCTGACTCCAGGCTGGACTCCAGGACCCCCGAGATCATGACCTGAGCCAAAGGCAGATCCTTAACCGACTGAGCCACCCCGGTGCCCCTATACTAGTAGTATTTAATTTTATCTTATTAAAGGGTAAACGCTTTCAAAGCAGCATTGGCTAATAGGTTCCTAAGAGTGGGCTTCCCACTGATGTGAGGAATCCACGTTTGTCCAGCCCACCTTTCAGGTGAGTCTCCAGAAGGAAAGAAAACAAGAGCCACGTTCACCTCTCCTCCTGCCCTTCCACCTCCCCCTCTGCTCTGCGTAAGAAACTACTGTTAACCGTTGTGTGTACCCTTCCCATCTTCTTTTCCACAGAGTGACATGCAGACAGATAAGCATATTCAGAGACCTATCACAGTGATTTTTAGGTCGGTGGCTTTTTCACCTCATAATTCCTTAGAGAGTTTTCTTTTTCTTTTTTTTATTTTTAAGATTTATTTATTCATCTTAGAGAGTGAGAGTGCATGTGCACATGTGAGCGGGGTAGGGACGGAGGGGGAGGGGGAGAAGCAGATTCCCTGCTGAGTGCACAGCCCTCCCTAGGGCTCGATCCCACGACCCTGAGATCACCACCCCAGCTGAAATCAAGAGTCCAGCAAAAATCAAAAGCCTGACTCTCAACCAACTGAGCCACCCAGGCACCCCTAGAGAGTTTTCTTTATTGGGCATAGATCTCCACCAGGCAATTTTTCCCAGCTGCATGGTTTTTAGTTTGGTTGGTTGGTGTGGTTTGGTTTTTAAATTTATTATTATTTTTTTTAAATAATCTCTACCCCCAACATGGGGCTTGAACTCATGACCCTGAGATCAAGAGTCGCATGCTCTACTGCCCGAGCCAGCCAGGCACACCCCCAGCTGCATGTTTTTTATTATATGAACTCACTTATAGTGCATTCTGGATTCATCCTTCCTAATGATGAAATTAGTAGCAGACATTCTGTTTTCTGTCGTAAAGAATGCTGCACACCCTTGCGTTTGTGTTTTTGTGCCCATGTGCCTGGTACCTAGAAACAGGACTCTGACAAACGGCAGCTCTCCAGAGGAAACCGCCGACCGTTGCTATGTATCCTTCCAGTCTTTTCCCGGCTGTGGCATGAAGATAGAGAAGCACACAGAGAAACACACACAGGCATAGAAATATATCTCAGTGTCTGTATGGTAAAAAAGCAAGACTGAGGTTGGATTTTGGACTTTGATAGGTGCTGCCAAGTCGCCTTCCCAAAAGGCTGTAGCACCGTCCCTGCTTCTCCATACTCCCTTACACTGGAAAGGGTCAATAATTTTTACATTTTACTGGCCTAATGATGGAAACATGTTCTAACTTACATTTTCCTAATTGCCAGTAGGACTGATCATTTTAGTTTGTGTTTATTAGCCATTTGTATTATGTATGCTATGCATTGCCTATTTATTATGGTCGACTTTTCTTTGGGTTTGTTTTTTTTTTTTTTTTTGGTCTTTCTTATCAATTTGCAATTAGGCTATCACCATCGTGGATGTTAGTTAGCCTTTTGATTATCACTCAATTTCCCTTTAGCCTGGTTTTCCTAACAATTACACTACTACTTCCCTTTTGTTCACCATCATGTTAGCAACCATTTACTAATACCTTAATGTTATAATCTCATATCAAGAAAAACAAAACACTGAGCTCCTAATTTGCCCTCTTTTTTAAATATTAATTTCTCTTATGCCTGGATATGAAATATTCATGCAAGTTAGCATGGGCCTTGAGGTTAGCCAAACAAGTGTTTCCCCCAGAACATTCAGGAGCAATTACTCTCAACCTACCTTGTGCACAGTGGCAGAAAGCCACTCCTTCTGAGCACCTTTCTTTCCCCCTTTCTGTGTAGGAAGCACAAATTTCTTCTTGTCCACAGGCTCTCCTGCTTTCAAAAGAGCAGGTCTGCTGAGGCAGAACGCAGGTATTTGCTCAAATGTCACTTCCTCTGCAGCACATTTGTCTGGCTCTAGGCTTTAGATGCATCTGCTTATTCTTGATCTCTGATGTATATATTCTATGAGTGTATTATAAGGACCCTGTATACCTAGAAAACTATAACGTGTGGCCTTTTAGCCTTTGCAGGGCCAACGTGGCAGGAGAGAGAATAGGGACTGTAGGAGATGATGCCTCTCCTCACCCCTGATGGGTAAGTAAATACCAGGACTTGTTGTTGACGTAACATATGATTATGGCTGCCATCATATCAGCAAGGCCTGAGTAGGGGTTAGCGATCATTACCATGCATGTTAATATAATTTTAAAATCATTATTTCCAGGGACGCCTGAGTGGCTCAGTCGGTTAAGCGTCTGCCTTCGGCTCAGGTCATGATCCTAGGGTCCTGGGATTGAGCCCCGCATTGGGCTCCTTGCTCAGCGGGAAGCCTGCTTCTCCCTCTGCCTCTGCCCTTTCCCCTGCTTGTGCTCTCTCTCTCTCTGACAGATAAATAGATAAAATCTTTAAAAAAATAAATCATGTTTCCACAAGCACTTAGTTGTATGGCTTTATCTCCTACTTCACAGTACAGCTAAGAGGCATCTTAATCTGCACTGATATCATTTCCTGCTGAGTTTCCTGAAATGTCCAGGCTGAGATGTAGGCACAGGACACCAGGATTGGCTCTTGTTGGCAGTTAGTAGACAGGAAGAGCTTCCATAAAACATAAATCGCCATTAGCTTAATTTTTTTAAGGTCACTCAGGAAGGCTGTATTTGGCACCACTGTTTGGCTCAGTCACTCCCAGCAATAAGCTTAATGTGGAACTGCAAATGATTTCCTTGAAGGTAAATTGTGAACAGCGTTTCTTGGGAAGTTTAACTTTCGAGAGCAACATCAAAAGCTTTCATCTACAGATGCTTAGGGGTTAATGGCCACTGGAGAACCTGTATTTAAAGCTGCCTGCTGATCCTCCTGCCTGTCCGAGATTCAGACTGCAGGAGCGTGGGGACGTGGCCACATCCCAGCTCCTCGGTCATCGGCATCATGCTTAGCACTCACTGAGCTCTGCGGTGCATACAGGCAGAACGTGAGGACAGGGCCTTTTTGTACGACGACGTTTGATCTTGGCGGCACACCTGTCAGCCCGTTAAGCTGAGCCTCAGAGAGGTTAAGGGACCTGCTCAGGAGGTGGAGAAGCCGAAACGCAAACCCCACATCTGTGCGTTTCTCCTTGCCCTCTTCTGCCCTCTCGGTGGCGGTGGTGGACTGCTGAGTCTTTCTGTCCTCACCCAGTTTGGTCATTTGCATATTCATTTGGCCTTTCACCTAATGAGCTGACAAAAGCTGGCAAATAGCTAATGAGTGTGTCCTGCGTGCTAAAAAACGGTCAGGCGCCTTACATCTGTGATCTCTTAATCCTCACAGTTCTAAGAAGAGGTAAACCTTTGAACTTTTTATTTGAATACTGTCATTTTTTGTAAGTAGAAATACATACAGAAAAGTACACAAATCCTAAGTATCCAGCCTAATAGGGATTCACAAAGTGCGCCCTTCTGTGTGATCACACCCTAACCAAGAAACAGAGCGTTGCCAATATTTCAGGTGTGCCCTCGTGCCCCCTCTCCACCGCTGATCCAGGCCTCCAGCCCAGGATAACCATACACCTGCCTCTTCACACCAGAGATTCCAGGTCTAGAGCGAGGGTCCCTTCTTTGGAGCCGACAATAGACTGGTCATTTTTGATCCCTGAAGCGGCCTTAGCCAGCTCTGCCTGCTGTAACAAAGTACCCCAAAAACTGGGCAGCTTGAAGAACAGAAATTTATTTCTCACGGCTTTGGAGGCTTGAAGTCCAAGATCAAAGCATCAACCAATTTTGTTCCTGGGAGCTCTCTTCATGTTTGCAGACGTGCCCCACCCTTATGATCTCATTTAACCTTAATTGTGTCCTAAAGACCCTATCTCTATAAGCTCTCTATATAATCACACTGGGGGTTAGAGCTTCAACATATGAATTTGGGGGGTGGGGGAGACACACAATTCAGTCCATACAAGAAACCAATGCTTCTCAAACTTTGGTGGCTTTAGAATCCGCTGGGGAATGTGTTGCTAGAGATTCCAGATCCTGTCCAGGAGTCACTGACGGAGTGGGTCTAGGATGGAGAACTTTCCTTGATGATACTCACTGCAGTAGGTGGAAAAGCCATCAAGCAGAGACAGCCTGTTCTGAGCTGTCTTCTTTACCTTCCTCCTACTTCTTCACCCTCTCTCTGGCTAACACACTTCTCTCCACGCAGGTTGCATGAGGATTTTTGTGTATGATTTGGAGAGGGTTGCAAGTAATTGAGGAAACAGCATTTTTCTTAATACAGGTTTTATACTTCACAAACACAGAGTGAGATTGGGAAGCTGGACCTTTCCTGGCATGTGGGACTAACTTCAAAGTGAAGAGCATAGAATAATGATTTCAAATCAGAATTTTCAGGAGCTCCTGTCTGGCTCAGTTGGTGGAGATTGCGACTCTTGATCTAGAGGTTGTGAGCTCGAGCTCCACATTAGGTGTAGAGATTACTAAAAATAAATAAATAAATGAACTTCAAATCAGAATCTTTAGTAAATGTCCCATAACTTTTACTAGAATACCCCAGATGTCCCCATATTGCAAGGCATGTCAGTAATATTTATTTTAAATAAGCATTTCTTCTACAGGTGCTGAGTTCCTAATATGCACCAGATGCACTGAGCATGCTTGCTTGCCTAGGCTCCTTTCCCACATATGCCTCGTTTTGGAGCCAGAGAAAATGCCTGCCTGTCATTACGGTTCTAGCATCAACTCTTGGATTCTCTCTGTCACCACCTGGATGTCCAACAGTTCCATTCAATTCAGTTCTAACACTAACTACCCAGAGTTAGCAGCAGACCCCACAGTTTTAAGGATTCACTTCCACAGGACTACCCCCACTGCAGATGCCAATTGCAAGTCCCAGCCACCCATACTTCTGATGGAGAAGCTACAGATCAGGGGCCCCATGACCCCCTCCTCAGGTTCAATACTTGGCTAGAATGACTCACAGAACTCAGGAAAACACTTTTTTTTTAGATTTTATTTATTTATTTATTTATTTGAGAGAGAGAGACCATGAGAGGGGGGAGGGTCAGGGGGAGAAGCAGACTCCCCGCTGAGCAGGGAGCCCGATGCGGGACTCGATCCCTGGACTCTAGGATCATGACCTGAGCCGAAGGCAGTCGCTTAACCAACTGAGTCACCCAGGCGCCCAGGAAAACACTTTACTTATGTTTACTAGCTTATTATGAAGGATACAATTCAGGACCAGTCAAGTGGAAGAGATGCATACAATTCAGGAATAGCCTAAAGGTATTTGGAGCTATTATGGAACATCCATACCTTCTCCCTCGCCACACCTCACCGTGTTCATGGATTGGGAAGCTTCCAGAACCTGCTGCTTAGAGATTTTTATAGGGATCCCATCACACAGGTATGATTGATTAAATCATTGGCCATTGGTGATCAAATTCAATCCCCAGCCCCTCTCCCTGCCCCAGAGGTCGGGAGCTCTAAGTTCCAACATCTAATCATGCGGTGTTTCCCCTGGCAACCAACTGCTTCCCAAAGCCATCCTTGGCCTCCAAGGGCCACCTCCTTAGCATAACCTCAGGCATGGTCAGGCTGCCTGGGTGGCTCAGTTGGTTAAGTGACTGCCTTCGGCTCAGGTCATGATCTCAGGGTCCTGGAATCGAGCCCTGTGTTTGGCTCCCTTCTCAGTGGGGAGCCTGCTTCTCCTATTCCCTCTGCCCACCACTTGGGCTCGCTGTCTCTCAAATAAATAAAATCTTTTAAAAAATTTTTAAAAATAAGCTCAGGTATGGTTGAAAGAGGTTTATTACAAACAAAAGCACTCTTATATCTCTTATCTCCTAGGAAATCCTAAGGGCTTTAGGAGCTCTGTGCCAGGAACTGGGGACAAAGATCAAATATGTATTTCTTATTATACCAAATAGTAATTAAGAGTTGCTAGTTTGTTTTTACTTTTGATTTTCCACAGTGAAGGTTATCATATTTCATTTGAGTTTTCCACTCCTAGCTCAGTCCATGAGTTGTGCCAGTGAGACCTTTCCATCTCCCCAGTCAGGTATCAGAAGGTCTTTGAGGAGCTCCACTATGTGTGTTCACTGGGAAATCACGCACACTGTAAGGCCAGACTTGGCTGCACCCATTAGCTGTACACAAACAGTACAATGCTGTTCAGCCTTAAGATGGAAGGAGATCCTAACATGTCACAATATGGATGAACCTAGAGGACTTCATGCTAAGAGAATGAGCCAGTCACAAAAAGATAAATATTGCATGACTCCATTTATATTAGGGACTTAGAGCTGTCAAATTCAGAGAGACAGCAAATAGAATGGTGGTAGCCAGGGGCTCCTGGAGGAGACAGTGGGGAGTACAGAGTTTCAGTTTTGCAAGATGAAAAACTTCTCAGATCTGTGGCACAACATTATGAATGTAATTAATATCACTGAACTGTACACTTCAAAATGGTTAAAATGGCCCATTTTGTGTGTTCTTTTTAAAGATTTTATTTATTTATTTGACAGAGAGAGAGAGAGAGAGGGAGATAGCACAAGCAGGGGGAGTGGGAGAGGGAGAAGCAGACTTCCTGCTGAGCAGGGAGCCCCATGGGGGACTCGATTCCAGGACCCTGGGATCATGACCTGAGCTGAAGGCAGACACTTAACGACTGAGCCACCCAAGTGTCCCTTATATTATGTGTTTTTTACCACAGTTTTTAAAAATCTAATTGTGAGGACAGGCCTGGCACACATGAAATAAATTGAAAGCAATGGAAGATAATAGGTAATTAAGTACTAAACTGTGAAGTGCTATTGGAGCTGAGAGAATAGAGATACAATATTAATTTGATTAGTGGAACAGGTTTGAAAGAAAGGTAAAAATTGAATTCAACCTTGAAAGAAGACAGTGGCAATAATACCGAAACCAGTATATTATTAGAGAAATTAAAGTAAAAAATTAAGTTACCATGTTCACAACTTAAGAAAAAGCCTTTTCAGGGCGCGTGGGTGGCTCAGTCGTTAAGCGTCTGCCTTCGGCTCAGGTCATGGTCCCAGAGTCCTGGGATCAAGCCCCTCATTGGGCTCCCTGCTCCGCAGGAAGCCTGCTTCTCCCTCTCCCACTCCCCCTGCTTGTGTTCCCTCTCTCGCTGTGTCTCTCTCTGTCAAATAAATAAATACAATCTTTAAAAAAATTTTTTTAAATAAATAAATAATAAAAAATAAATAAAATAGGGGCGCCTGGGTGGCTCAGTCGTTAAGCGTCTGCCTGCGGCTCAGGTCATGATCCCAGGGTCCTGGGATCAAGCCCCGCATCGGGCTCCCTGCTCCGCAGGAAGCCTGCTTCTCCCTCTCCCTCTCCCCCTGCTTGTGTTCCCTCTCTTGCTATGTCTCTCTCTGTCAAATAAATAAATAAAATCTTTTAAGAAAAAGAAAAAGCCTTTTCATTGAGTAAATAAATGAACTGATAAACAAGTACATGCTGAGGCATATCTTCAACCCTGCCTCTTGTCTCCGTTTGTTCGGGCTGCTGTAACAGAACCCCACAGACCGAGGGGCTTCAGAAACACAACACTGACTCCTCACGGCTCTGGAGGCTGGGAGTCCAAGATCAAGGCACCAACAGATCAATATCTAGTAAGGGTTCGTTTCCTGGCTCATCAACAGCTGTCTTTTCGCTGTGTCCTCACGCGGGAGAAGGGGTGAGGGAGCCCTGTGAGGTCCCTTTGATAAGGGCACTAATCCCATTCACAGGGGCTCCACCCTCATGACCTAATCACCTCCCCAAGGCCTCACCTCCTAATACCATCACACTGAGGGTTAGGTTTCAACATACGAATTTTGGGGGGACACAAACATTCAATCGATGGCATTTCTGTGGTTATAAAGGAATTCATGTAGTCTGTATTTTTGAAAAAGCACTTCCTTTACAATTATTCGAAAGGCATTTAGTTAGGATATCTTGGGGCACTTTCTTCTTTCTGCCGAGGTTCCTGAAATATCTCACAGAAAGTGTCACTTTGTAATGAGAATTTGGCAGAAATTTTCTGCTGGAGTAGTTGACGTCTATGGGCCTTAATTATAAAGTTGGCTAATGTAGCTCGTTATAACACAGTAGTTTGGATGTGGAGCCAGTACTAAGTTTCACATGGATAAAGGGGATTGACTTTCAGCCCAGGTGATTGGTGGGTTCCTTGTGCTTTATTCCGGCCCCATGTCCTCAATGTCTCACTCTTCTTGTTAAGAGCCTGGACCAGATGAGGTGACCTGTCACATGAGGGCACAATGGCCAGCCCCTCAGACAGGAACAACAGTCGGGTCCCTGGAGCCTGCCACTTCTTTGGTGTCTGCGAATAGAAATGCCGAGCTGGTAAAGAAGGACCAGTTTCCTTGAAGCTGCTAAGACAAATATTCATGTCGCTTCTCCAGTGAGCTCTGTTTGGAATGTGAGAAACTATAACCTCTCTTGGGCTGGGGACCCGCCCCCACTACTTCTTTCCCCCAGTGGCTTCTAGGGAAGGGAGGAAGCATTACACATTGTTGTGTGTTACCTGTATTTTGTGAGCTTTCTCTTTAGGGGAAAAAGAATTTTTATTCTGGCTCCACTGCTGGAACTAAAAAGTTACTCCTTAATGAGACTGACACAAAAGAAGATTAGAAAAAGGGGCAGCTTCTGACTTATTTAGGGATCTCCCATTTTTGTTGAGGTGGAAGACGGGGCTTAGGTAACACAGGATCATTTTTCCCTAATATACTCCCCCTTCCTTTAGACTTTGGGAGTTCAGCAACTCCCTCATTCAGAGTAGAGGCATCTTGTTGTCTCCTGTTATTTGAATTGTTCCAGGGACTCTTTATAGTTTGTTCTTTTAATAGAAGATAGAAGTTATCACATGAGTCTGGGGTAGTTTTAGCTTCAGGCATGGACTCTTTCAGAGGCTCAAACAGTATAACCAGTGTGGTTCCTTTCCAGCTGCCCCAGGTCATGTGCTACGTGAAGCCAAGACACCAGTCAGCAGTGCCAGGAGAAAGGCGAGCTGTGACTCTTGCTCAGCAACTGTCTTTGGCCTGAACTGGGTCATGTGGTCATGCTTGAGCCACTCCTGGGACGAGGAGGATGAGAGGCCTGACCTGAGTTCCATCCCGTCCATGCAGGAGAGAGTGAAGCTAAGCGGACCTAAGCAGAGGCTGGAGAGCTGTGCTCCTTGGGCACCTCACAGCACGGGGCCACAAAGCTGCTGCTCCTCGAGCTCCATACAGGTGGGTGTGTTTATCAGTGGTTTGTTCGTTTTTCCTGCTGAGTAGTATTTCACAGTATAGACCTATCACAGTTTCTTTCACCATTCACCCGCTGAAGGACGTCTGAGCTATTCATAGTTTCACGCTAGTATGAATAAAGCGGCTATGGGCAATCGTGTAATGGTTTTCATGAAGACATAAGTTTTTGTTTCTCCAGCAGAAATGTCCAGTGGTGTAATTGTTGG